TTTTCACACCAGCAAGGGATGTATCCCCTACTATGTGCCAGGCACTAGATTTACAAAAATAAATAAGCAACTCTCCCTTAATGTCCCTCACTTCATCTAATTGCACTACCGTGGGATGAACGCTTTACTAGTGGCCGTGAAATAAGGTGGGAGAGCAGAGGAAGGAAGTTTGATTTCTGGCTTTGGAAGGCTGGGAAAATGTTCACCGAGGAGGTGCCTTTTAAGCTGAAGAGCAAGTCGAATGTTTTTGAATTATTGCAGGCAACAGGAGGGAGCATTCTAAGCAGCGGGGTCTCTGTCTGGCGCAGAGGCATGGAGGGTGTATTCAGGTGATGGAGAAGAGTCCAGTATGGCCAGACTGTGAGCCGGGCATGCCTGTGATCGGGAGGCAAGGGAGAGTCAGGGAAGCTTGGGAGGAGGCCGGGGGTCAGGGTGAAGGCTGCCATAGAGCCTGGGTGGGTGAGGTTCTTTTGGATCCAGACAGTTTCAAGGCTTTCACAGCCCCCTGAAGAGACTGGTACTGTTATTAGGGTGTACCTAGCTTGGAAGAAGAACTAGAAAACTCTAAAGAACCACGGCGCCCCAGGGACAGGGGTCTCTTGCCATCTCTCATTTGTGACTTCAGGGCCTTTCTCCTGCCCTCTAGCCTCGCCGAGCTGCCCTGCTCACTCTCCTCTCCCTCCTGGTTGGCCAGTTTCCTCAATGTCTTGTAGTCCTGGGGAATTTGTAACCTTTGTTCTAAAAATTCCTTGTAGATGGTCTGGGGGTTGTGGAGAATGTATGTGGGAAAACCAAATGGGAAAACCAGGAAATACCCTGGACCTGGGACCCCTACCCCTTTTTAGCCAGGACACCCTGCTCTGTTTTATACACTGGCTTTTAGGTAAGTTCCACTTGAAGAACACGTTCCAGCACAAACAGGGTTTGAAAACTTCAGCTCTAGTTTAAATCTTGGATGGAGCCATTCTGCTTGGCTTAGCTGATGATTGTCACTTGACTTGGGTAGAACCCTGCAGCCGTGGCCTCCTCGCTGAACTGCCTGCAGGCATGTGCAGGGGCCACAGTAAGTCAAAGGCTCTTCCATGCAAAGAAAGCAGGCACGAGGTGTCTGGACCCTGCCTGGTGTGGGTAAGGTGTGGAAGACAGGCTTTTAAAAAAGTAATAATTAATTAATGTTTACAAATATATATTCTTTTCCATATTCTTTTTCATTACAGGTTACTACAAGCCATTGAATATAGTGGGAGGCAGTTTTGAATCAAAGGGCATGTTGAGCATGACAGACAAGGTGATTGATGCATCCAGGCAACACTCTGTGTTTGAAAGTGTGGCTTCTAGCCCCGAGCTCAGCATCTTACAGAGTCTTTGTAGAGAATGCTTATTCTGCAAGAGGCTCAGCTATGCAAAATTTCTGTTTTTCCACAAGACTTTGAAGTATTGCTTTTTCTACTTAGTGATCTCCATGCATATTAGTGTATTAAATGTTATGGAAATTTGTAAGGTATAGATTTAGTTCAAATAAATGGAAATGCTTAAAGAAAAAAACACATACACACGTACAACAGGGATTAAAACTTTGGAAATTGATTACCCTAGAAGTGAAAGCATATAAATAGCTTTTAAAAAGGCTTAGAGATAAATTCCATGATATTAGGTGCTCGCTAAGTTGTGGGGAGGGAACTCCCACTTTGTTAGTGAGAAGCTGCCCCAACCTTTTGAAACAGGTGTCATTTCTATTAGTGTCTTTGTATATATTCATTTGGTCACCAAATATTATAAAGTACCCACTACGCCAGGCAGAACACTTGGTTATGTGTTTAGAGTATGAAAATTCTTCTCTCTTTAGTTTTTCTGTAATATACCATTGTTAATGCTCATTTTTGGAATTCTGTGTTTCTGACTATCAAAGGAAAAAAGATGGCAACATAGATAGTTACTAAACATTTTTAACCCCTGGTAACATGTCTAAAAAGATCAAGTTTTAGGCTGTCTCCTGGACCCAGGGTTCTTTCCCCTCCGTCATATTTCTGCTCCGTGTCCTAGACAGGGAAAGGTACCAGGTCCTGGTGAGGCTGGAGGGGTGATGACTAGTGCTGCTTCCTACTGTGCATGTGGAAGTCAGATATGCTTAAAAATTAGCACCGAGCTCAGGGTTCATGGAAGGATAGTAACTGAAAGGTTCTATTCTGTAGTATGATAAACATTACCTCATAATTTTATTTTTTAAGTTGGAAAGTTTACAGGAGCTGAAGCTCCTCTCTTGGCTCATAACATATTCCTCCTCCATCAAATTATATAGTAGCTTATTCCACATTTCAATTTCTAAATAAATTGGTCTTCATTATTCTTAGATTCCTGACAGACATCCCGTCTAAGAATGAATGTTTTGCATTCTGCCGCTTTGAACGTGTTAAACAAATTACTCAGTGTCATTGTCACTGAATTAATTAGAAGGATTCAAGTGATGACTTTAGCACACCGATGTGAACATGTTGTTTTTTTTTAATTAGGGATCATTTGTTTTTTTTAATTAATAATTACAGCTCTACTTTGGTATCATTTGTGGTTTTAACATTACCTGCCTTGGGGAGTTGTCATGAGGATTATGCCAGTAAAGCTGTCAAAACGGTGCTTAGCACATAGGAAGGGCTCAAATGCTATCTTTAGCCTTAATGAGCTGTGTGACGAGGTAATCAGGGTGGACTCCGTTATCCTCATTTTACCAGTAAGGACCCTGATGCTCAGAAGTTTGACCCCCTGGAATTTCTGGCAATGTCAGGACAAGAGCCAGGGCTTCCATTCCTAGTTCTGTGTTCCTGACTGCCCTCATAACTGACATTTAGGGGTTTGGTATTTCAACCCGTGCATCTGTGGAGGATGCAAGCATTCTGGCCATGGCAGTTAAGTCAGCTTGTGTGAAAATGTGTAGTGTAATACCGAACCTACAGTGGGAACTCCTTCACGAGGGTTCTTTCCTTTCTGTGCAGTTTGTACCTGTTGGGATTCTCATCTCTCTCTTCCTCTCCTTTCCCCTATTGGTGCCCCAGCCAAGCCCTTCATCCCCCGACCACTCAGGAGCCTCCAGTCTTCAGCAGTTGGTGGTTGTCTCAGCTCAGGCTGTCATAACTGTCACCGACTGAGTGGCTTAAACAACAGAAATTTACCTGCTCACAGATCTGGAGGCTAAAACTCTGAGATCAAAGCATTGGCAAAGTTGGTCTTTCTGAGGCTTCTCTCCTTGTTTGTAGACGACCGCCTTCTCCCTGTGTCTTCACAAGGTCTCCCCTCTGTGCGTGTCTGTGTCCTAATCTCCACTTCTTATAAGGACACTGCTCCTGCTGGGTCAGGGCCCGCCTAATGACCTCATTTTCATGTAATTACCTTTTGAAAGACCCTATCTCCAAATACAGTCACAATCTGAGGTACCAGGGATTAGGGCCTCAACATATGAATTTTAGAGGAAACTTGTTCAGCTTTTAACAACTGTCGCAAGGAGACAGCACCTAGGCCTTAGAGTTCCAGCCCAGTGTGTGTGCCCCCAACTCATAGTCACAGCCCTGGGGTTATCAAAACCATTAAATTCCGTTCGATGCCCTCTGTTCAAAAAACAGGCAAAAGTGGGACCTAGTTCCTTCCTTAGGGGATGGAAGAAAGGAGGATGGGACCTCTTGTGTGTTGGATACTGTGCTAAGTTGCTGGTGCTTAGCAGACATTATGTCCCCAAAGCTCAACATTGCGAACGATAGGGTAGGCATAGTTGCCTCCATTTTTATAGGAGAAAGAGACATTAAGTCATTGGCCCATGTCACAGTTACTGGTTGCTGTGAGATTTACTAATGTGGCACTCCCGTTTCTCTATAGCATTGAGAAGATGAAGTAAGACCCTTAGGAGTCACGTGAGTGAAGCAGGAAGAAAACTGTCCTCTCATTTCCAATTCTACCCTTCCCTTGAGAATTAAAAAGTCAATGCAAGGCTGATAAAAGAAAAGAAGACAAATGGAAGAAACTATTTTTAAAAGGCAGATTTAGGACTTAGATCTTGGAAAAAGACCACTGGGTTCTGAAGGGAGTAAGGAAAGACTCCATGTGAACCACTTTTCTCCAGGCTAATCCATCAGCCTATAAATAAGTTGTACTTGTCCAACAGCTTTTACCCATCTTTCCTGGGTTTTTCCTCCATCCCTCCCTAGCTAGAGGCAGCATGGTGCGGCAGTTAGAGAGCCAGGCTCTAAAGTGAGACCATCAGGGTTCCAATCTCATTTTCACTACTTGTTAACTGGTTCGGTTTTTGGCAAGTCACTTAATCTCTCTGAGGCCTCAGTTCTCTCTGGTGTTAAAAAAAAAAATTGGAGATAGTGATCATGACTTCTGATGAGGTTGTTGTGAGCATTGAGTAATAAAGTGCCTGTGTAAAGTGCCTCACAAAAGGACTAGCTGTTGCTGCTGAGAACACAAAGCCAGCGATGGCAAGGATCTTTGTGTATTTTCCGACATGCATCTCTAGCTCCTGGAAGTGCCTGATGGGCAGGCAGTAGACACCCATTCGTGTTTGTTGTGTGACTGAATGAATTCAGATATGATGGCCCCTGAGCAACCTGTGATGAAGAGGAAGTACCTGGTTTCAGCAAGTTTCTTGGTTTTGTTGGTTGGTTGGTTGGTTGGTTGAAGCAATGAGCCCGCTGGTGAGGAGGTGGGGAAGGGAGTGAGGCAGAGCAGAGGTGAGAAAGCGTTTCTCAGTCTCCTGAGTGGCAGGAGAGTTCTAGGTCGTCTGTGCTTGGTTTCCTTTGCTGTTTCCTTGTAGCATCTCTGGATCTGCAGGTGGAATCACTTTCTGGGGCCTCTGGGCTCTGACAGCATGGAAACCGCCTGCTGACATAAAGGTATCTGGGTGGTACTCTGATCCATTTCAGACTTCCATCTTGTGCCTGTTCCCTTGGATTGGTTTAAAGATACGTGTTGTCATCAAAATTCCTAAAGTGACTGCCACATTTTCTTTCCAGGCTCCGACTGCATGAAGAAAAGGTTATTAAGGATAGGCGACATCATCTCAAAACCTACCCAAACTGTTTTGTCGCAAAAGAACTGATTGACTGGCTGATTGAACACAAAGAGGCTTCTGACAGAGAGACGGCAATTAAACTCATGCAGAAATTAGCAGACCGGGGCATTATCCATCACGGTGAGTGGGGTGGCGACACACAAGTTAACTTGAGAGGAAGCAAAGGACGATGCCTTCTATTTCAGATCTGAACCTACCCATTTAAGAAATAAAACATTTAAAGGGGAAAGGTAGAGGGTGAGGGATAAATTAGGAGTTTATCTACAAAATAGATAAACAACAAGGTCCTGCTGTATATAGCACAGGGAACTATATTCAATATCTTGTAATAACCTTTAATGAAAAAGAATATAAAAACAAATATATGTATGTATATGCATGACCAGGACATTGTGCTAGATACCAGAAACTAATATAACATTATAAATCAACTATGCTTCAATTAAAAAAAAGTGTCACCTTAATTGTCTCCTGAGTAACTGTCCCCAATTACATTCCCTTCCTTCTTCCAAAACGTTTTTGGATTTATTTCCCTGGACTTCTTTATTTCTTTTTTTCCTTCCTGTATGTGCATCTCTTAGCAATGTAACATATTATTTTAAATGTTCTAAGTCATTATAGAGTTGCATGTTTATTCCTTTGCAACTTGCTCAACACAGTCTGTGTGATTCACTCATGTTGGCTGTGCATCTTGTTGGCTCGTTTTCACTGCAGCGTGCACCGTGCCTCATTCTGCCATCACACCGTTTACCCATCCTCCCGCTAATGGGCAGTTAGGTTATTTCCAGGTTTCTGCTCTTACTCTCAGTGGTTCAGTAAACTTCCATGAGCATGTCTCCTTGAAATCTCTAACCCTGGCCAAGACCTTTCACGTGCTGTTATTCTCTTGGGCTGGAGTGCCCTGTGTCTTCATTTCCGCTCATTTTCTACTCATTCTTCAGGCCTCCACTTACATGCAGACTCTTCAGAGAAGTGCACATTCCCCAGAGCTGGGGTACCAGGTGCTTCCTGCTTGGGCTCCCACTGCGATATCCGCTCATCTCTTTCATAATCATATCACACCATATTTTAATTGCATGTCGACATCTCTCTTTATCTCCCTAGATTTCTCATTCTTTGAGGCTGATGCCTGCCCTGGTAGCATGCTCAGGAAGAGTGTGTGGGAAGAATGATGAATTGAATTTTGCGACTCTTTTAATAGATAATGATGGTGATGATGACGATGATGGGGATAGCTAATAAAACTGAGCGCTTATTCTGTTCCAGGCCCTGTGCTAAATACTTTGTGTGTTTTTTTAAACATATTTTTATTGATTTGTAATCATTTTATAGTGTTCTGTAAAATTTACTTTGTGTGTTTTAATCATAGAGTAGTATGCTTGAGAAATTAGGTAAAAACAAATCTTAGCATCTTCCTTCATCTGAGTAATTAAGTGAGTTATTTTTTTTATTTGCTTCTCTGTGTATATTGTCTTTCAGTGTGTGACGAGCATAAGGAATTCAAGGATGTCAAACTCTTCTACCGCTTTAGAAAGGACGACGGCACCTTCCCACTGGACAACGAAGTGAAGGCCTTCATGAGAGGACAGAGGCTGTATGAGAAGTATGTTGCCCATGAAATCCCCACGGTACTCTTGTTGAGAAAAGCAAGGCTATTGCAATCTTTTATCATTTTGATTTCAGCCTGGCCCCTCTTACATGTGGGATGGTTACATAACTGTTCCTTTCCATATGAGAAAACGCCACCACTCACCGCCACAAATTAAGTTGATGCCCTAAGATTCTTAATAAAGAATTTATTTAAATAGTATTTTCTATATTTAAGTCAATTTAACAAAACCCCAGAAGTAAAAACGAAAGATTGGCCCTTGATGGTTGCCAATAAATGATGCAGTTGCCTGTTCTCTTTTAAATAATGGTGTCTAACTTGGAGGTTTAGTCTTGTAAATGGTTAGAGAAGCAGTGTCAAGTACAGGGAAGGTCATGCTCAGGTCAAGAGATGAGTGGTGAGAGAGCTTCAGTTAGCAGGATGGTCTAAGAGGAATACTTTCTCATCTCTTTGGAGGAGATGAGTGTTTGGTTGGTGGATCGCGAATCTCCCAGTGCTTTGTCTCAGAGCTGATCTGCTGTTTCTGTGGTCCACTTCCCATCCTACTTTCATTGTTTTTTTTCAGGGCAACCATTAGAGAAGGAAGTGCAGGAGCAATGGCACCTTTTCCTTAACTCTGACTACCTTGCAAAATATGTGCTTGTCACATAGAAGAGCTTGCTCTGTAAGTGGGTTGGTGCTTGGGGAAGAGGCGCCCGCGTGGTCAGATTAAGTAGCGTGATGGTTGAGGAGCCAGACAGGCTTTGAGTTCTAGCCCTGTCGCCTTACCTTTGTAAACCTCAGTGTCCTCTTTTATGACATGGGAGTGGTGATAGCACCTACCTCCTAGGTGTTTAGTGCTGTTGTGGGGATTGAAAGAATAAATGGCTTCAAGCACTTAAATATTTATTTAGCTCAGTCACTTTGGTATGTTGTCAGACCCCATGGAGGACAGCCGTTTCAGAGATTAACATATTGATGACCGCCTTCAATTCTGTCTCTCCTGTGTTCTACCTCTATCCCAGTTCTGTTCACCTCTGTTTCTGGAGCTGATATTATCCAGCCACTTAATGCTCAATATGTATCAGTTCTCCTAGTTCTCTTGTTACTTGCTTTCTATATCAAAGTATAGAAAAATCTCTCATCTCCCTGATGACTGAGAATTTGAACGGAAGGGATCTGTCAGCGCCTCCATTTGTATACTTGAGTGTCTATGTTTTGTTGCTACTTTACTTTCTTAGTTCCTTTTGGAAAGTTCTAGCAAGCTTTAAGTATTTCAAGTACCATGATGGTCCCTTCAAACTAAGATTTTTTATGTTGTCAAAAACATACATGTCATTTCCATGGAAGGAAGCCAGAGGATTCTGTAACCTTCTTCTCTAGCTACAGATTATCTCTTCAGATCTGGGTGAACACACGGGAGGGGAGCAGGGATTAGCAATAATTGCAATGTTGGCTAGAGAATTATTCTTGCTAATGGGGTAGATTTGATGACCAGACAAAAATAAGAGAAGTTCATGCCTTCTAGAAGACAGACTCACTCCAGCCCTACCTTCTGCTGCTTCTCCCCTTACATCCTATGCGCCATTCACGCTGAACTGTGTGTCTCTGGATCATCCAGATATCTTCTCAAATGTCATCAGGGCATTTATTAATTCATTAATTATTCAACAAATATTTACTAAGCCCTCAACATAAGCCAGGCAGAGTTACAGGTCCTGGAAATGTGCCCTGAACCAAAGGCAGACAAATCCTCTGCCCCCATAGAGTTTGCATTCTAGTTGAAGAGGCAGCCGTTAAACAGAGAACACATAAAGAGGAATATACAGGCGCTTTTCAGTGATAGAAAAAAGACTTACTGAGGATGGCAGGGTATTTTAGATAGAAGGGACAGGGAAGGCATCCCTGAAGAGGTGGCATTTGAATAAAGTGAGCCTGTGTGTATCTGATGGAACAGCACCCTAGGCAGAGGGCACAGCAAGGGTAAAGGCTTGAGGTGGGAATGTGCTTGGAGTGTTTTGGGACAGCAAGGAGTCTCAAGTGTCCAGAGGGTGGGAGGAAGGGGGAGAGTAGTAGGAGATGAATACCAAATCATGTGGAGCCCTGGTCGTCATGGTATTGAAGATTTGAGTGTAATGGGATGCCGCTGGAGAGTGGTCAGATGTCCTTTTTGCACGTGCTGGACCCTCCGTCTGGGAGTCTCTTCCTGCCACTCTCAGCCCTTTCTCTAGCTCAGTCTGACTGCTCCTGGCTTCATGTTCAATATAACCTTTCCTGAGAGCCCTTCCATGCTGGCTTAGGACTGAGTCAGGTGCCACTACTGTGTGTTTACCCCATGAAAGAGCTGTGTTATAATTTCGTCTTTGTGTGTTTGCTGCCTTCGACTGAGAACCTTAAGGGGAGGGACTGCTTTATTCTTTATTGTGTTTCTTATGGTTTCACATGTGCCTGGCCAATTGTAGAGGGTAAATATTTGCTGAAAAGAATGACTAAACTTTTTGATCCCTGGGCAGGTGGATCAATATTGCTGTACTTTTTCTGTGTGCAGTGGCCCTTCTAGTCACTAGCGTTCAGTGTCTCAATTCCAAGTAAATTTATTTCTTCAAACTGCTTGTAAAATTAGCACTAGGAGAAGTAATTTAATAAGAACTTAACCTTGCATGACCTAACTGCCACCTTGCAAATCTTGGCTGCTACTTTTAGTTGCTAGAACACATGTGGAACAGACTGGGACCATTGGAACTGATGGCTTAGGTTTGTGATTGGATCAATTTAGTTTGGGGTATACACTTAACTATTTTTTAATGCATTCTTCTTGTTTCTCTGGCCATCTTTTCAATGAATCTCAGCATGTACTATAATTTTATAAATTTTGGGTACTTTAAAAAAAATAACATTAAGAAATAGTTGGTTTTGTTCATAGCTCATCTTTTCAAGAATTTTATTTGTTTTAAAATTGACTCCCCCTGCCATGTTTTTTCACCAAAACTCTCATTTAGGAGATCTCTAACATTTGTGAAAGGAGATCAATAAATGTTCCTTCAGTTGTTTTCCTTTTAAGGTGATAACAATAGAAAACATTTATTGATTGCTAACTGTGGATCAGACATCCTGACTAATCTGGTATATTTAATCATCATGACAAACCCTGGTTAGGCGCTGTCATTGTCCCCATTTTATGGATGAGAAAAACGTGGCAAGGAGAGGTTAAATGTCTCACCCAAGGTCACCTCATTAGTAAAAAGAACAGCTGGGATTTGAACCCAGGAGTCCAGAGCCCAAACTTACTGCTACCAGGCCATTAATAAATCACTTCTGTTTCCTTTAAACAGGAGATTGAATGATTGAAGCCAATGTTTACTGCAAAGATAAAACATGGAGTTTGTGAATATCTGGGTATGGAGTTTTCTGTAAAAATTTACTGAAAATATTGCAGGATTTTAGAGTGGACATTGGAAAAGACAAGTAAAATGATTCTCCTTCATAGTAAATCTATGTGATGTTGTGTAAACATGAGAAAAACAACAGTGACTTTTATTTGTAAATTAGGTTTCTCAAAGCACTGTCATTAGATTATTTGATCTGAGCCTCCTTAATAGAGTAATAATAAAATGATAATAGTAATAATAATGATAGCCTAGTAACTAATAATATAAAATAGATGGGGCGTTACATTATCACCCAGAAGGAGGAGAGTCTGGGATCCAGAGCGGTTAAGTCACTTCTGCATGCTGGTGCTACAGCTCGGGGGGTGGGGGACAGAGGTGACGCCTGAACCCAGGTGACAGGTGTGCAGACCACTGCTCTCCACAGCCTCCCACCAGCTCTGAGGGCCCAGCTCTGTTGTCAGTATTTCCTTTCTGCTCTCCTCTGGCCAGTATTTCCTTTCTGCTCTCCTCTGGCTTGCTTGTTCTGGGTTATTAAATAGGATTTTGTGAAACTCAGTGGCTTCTGGCTGGGGTTTTGTTGAACCGTGCTGATTTGGGGGCACCCTGGCTTTCTAACCCCTGGCAATGTTTCCCAGTCTGCTCTTCTGCAGGACAAATCTGTGTCTCAAGACTGAAATTCAATGACTGTTTGTTGCCCCTTAGTATCTATGTCACTTCAGTTACCTTAACTCAGAGGTACTCAAACGAATGCTGCTTCAGCGGCAAAAAAGTGGCCTTTTCAAGTTGTTCCAATGTGAGGAAAGTTACAGGGGAGCTGGTGACATGACATGAATCCTCTCTCAGAGTGTGTGGTAGTGGGTGTGGGCTTTGGGGAGTCCCACAGACCTGATCTCCAATCCCAGCCATACAACCCGCTGGCTCTGCGACCTTGAGCAGGCTTTGAACTTCTCTGATCTGCAGTCTTAAATGGAGATAAGCCTGGGGCCCCCTTAGAAAGGCTGTTGGAAGGATTAAATGACATCTAGTCTATACAGTGCTAAGTGAAGTGTCTGGCACAGTGTGAGAGCCCAGGAAATCTTAGCTGCTGCTATTAGATTGGTAAATAATAATATAAATAAAGGATAGTCTTGTTTTATCATATTATTTTAAGATATAGTCTGGAATAGCAGTTGAAAGACCAGAAGCCAGGCTTCCTGGGTGTGAATCCGGCATCTGGGCAAGTGGCTTCACCTCTCTGTGCCTCCATCTGCCCATCTAGTAAATGGAGATATTGATATTGTACCAACCTCATGGACTTGCAGGGATTAAATGAACTAACGTGCACAATACACGGGACAGGGCCTACCTCAGAATAGGAGTCATCTCCTGCCACCGGGTTGAGAGGAGTTTGAGAAAGAGGGTGTGTGCTCTTGGACTCGTGCCCAGACTGTCAGTTTGAGGACTTCATCTAAGCACATGCGGGCATGGTGCGCTTGCATCAGCAGGCATCATCAGACCTTCACTGTGGCCAGTTGCAGACTGAATGTGCAGAGACTAAGGCATGACTTCTCCCCTGGAGGGACTTACAGCTACCCCACTGAATTCTGCATGGGCACAAATACCCCAGACACACAACTCATGGACAGA